ATACTAATAAAATCGTGAATAAATCAGAAAATGATTCAACAAGAGAAAAATTTAACTAGGGATCTGCACATAGAAATAACTTTGTGGCTCTACCATCCAAAGAATATCATTCATCGTAGCTCTGCTAAAACAGTGAATTCTTCTATGTGCAGGTTTTCCCGTGTCTCATTTATTTATTTTAATTCCTCGATTAATATGTCTCAATTTATTTATTTTAATTCCTTAATTAATTATGGCTCTTGCCAGCCCTGTTTCCAAATAAGGGTCAGCATATCTATTTTTGGCAGGACACAGTGCCTCATCTCTCTGCACTGTGCCTCTGGGCTTCTGTCTGAGCTGGACAGAATCTTTGTCTACTAATGGATGGGAGAGCCATTGTGTATATTTGATTGGGGTTGTGTGTTGAGTTTTGCAAGGTAATTAACTTGGCTCTCTTCCTTTCCACTCCATGGACTTACAATGTTGTATGAAATCTCCAGAGACACTATTTCATCTTTTGCTTCTCAGAATGAAATCATATCTCCTGTAGACAGAAATTTAACCTGCTCTTAAAATGCTCTGGAGTGGCAGAATGGGAGCCCCAGTATGCACACCTTATATGTTAAGACATAAATAAAGCTACTCCCTGGGTTACTAACAAGATTTGTTCCTAAGTCTGTCTTTAAGTTGAATTTGAAGTTAAGTTGGAACATGAACATATGGTTTTATATAGATAGCATCAGCCAGTCAGATGTCTACCTTAGGATATATTTTACCTTTCCATGCATATAAAGGAGTCCTGGTGTGGCGCTGTAGGATCAGCACTAGACTGGAAGGTTGGTTTGAACCACAAGGTCAGCGGTTCAAACTTAGCAACTGTACCTTGAAACTTTATACAGTGCGCCTATGAGTAGGAACTGATTCGATGGCACTTAACTACAACAACAACAACGCATATAGAGGATTCCTGGTGTGGTAAGATCAGCACTGGACTTACAAACCACAAGGTTGGCAGTTCAAACCCACCAGCTGCTCCTTGGAAACTCTATATCAGGTTGCTATGCATATGAAGGAGTCTTGGTGTGGTCCTATAGGATGTGCACTGGACTTCTAACTACAAGGTTGGCTGTTCAAGCCCACCAGTCACTCTTCAGAAACCCTATACAGGGACATTATGCATTGGAACTGACTTAATAGCAACAGCAACATGATATAAAAGGAGCTCTCGTAGTGAAGTGAGTTATGAGTCAGGCTGGTAACCTCAAGCTTACCAGCCATTCCAGGAAAGAAAGATGAGGCTTTCTGTTCCCATAAAGATTTACAGCCTCAGAAACCCTGTACAGGGTAGCTGTGAGTCGGAACCAACTCCACGGCACATAAACACCACTACCTCCTTGAATATAAAACACTTAAGAAGCACTTCCAAATACACTAAAACATCTTAAGGAGACGTTGATTCAGTACTGTTGAGAGGTAAAGAAATGATTCTTAAAACAATTTAGATAGAAAAAAAAGAGGAAAAAAGACCATGATTAAGGTTAGCACTTACTCTTGTTTGATCGAGGTCATTCACGAGGTAACAGTCTGATAACATTAGTCATTGGAGGATGCAGGGAAGATGCTGGGCATGGTGTTGGAGAGCCAGGGTTTAATTCTGTGGCTGGAGATTTGGGTTGGAGGTGGGGTTATTATTGGAGTGAATTTCTTGAGTGTAGGTATCAAGTGAAGGGTGCTAAGAGCTTTTCTTTTTCTCATCATAAATGATTTTGTAGCCACTGTTGCCCTCGGTAACTGTATGGTAAACTTCCATGAAAGTCTCTGTATTAGGATCTTGCTCCTATAACTTTGCCATCTCCTGCTTCATGAGACAAAAGGCTTCGGCTAACTCTTCCCTCAAAAACATTTTCAGTTCTGAAGTTTCTAGGCCCTGGTCTTCTTCCTCAACTTGTATCATTTGTTGCTTTAGTTCCAAAGGTCTTCATTGAATTAGTTATTCCCTGATGTCTAACTGCAGTTGGTTACCAATAGCAACCACAGCTTTCCCTGGCTTCGGTGATGTCATCAGCTGTAAACCCCGAAAAGCATGTACAAATTGGAGGCAAAATTTGTTCCATATTCCTTTCATATTTGACTGCATCACTGGTCCTAAGAATCGGCAGTATTTTTGATGTCATCATTGATGTTGTAATTCCTCCAGAACTTCCATGAGCTCATCACTTCATCTTGAGTAGCCCTGATTGCTTGTGAGAAGACCCCTGTGAGCAATGGCACTTACAGGAGACTGTGACCTCTCTAGTCCATTGTCTGGTGTTGAGGGAGAACAATGCAACCTTTCATTGGGGCGATTGTCATCGAAAGTGCTTTGGCATCTAGGTGAGTTGTGCTTGCACAAGGAGAACTTCTGAAAGGAATTTTCTTGGCCAAGTGTAATGTTCAACAACAGGAACAAAAAGTGGCTCAAGATCTACTCTTCAAAGATGGCAATTCTATTCTAAGCCTTTGCATTTGCCTTCCAAATAACTGGGAAGACATAACTTAATGACTAGACAAATTGCCTTTGAATACAGGGAGTGATTCACAGTCAACATTCATGGAAGCAGCAGTCAAGAAATCAAAGGATGTATTGTATTAGACAAATCTGCTGCAAAAGACCTCTTTAAAGTGTTCAAGAGCAAAGATAGCAGATTGAGGACTAAATTGAACCTGCCACAAGCCATGATATTTTCTATCACTTCACACTTCTGTGAAAGTTGGATAATGAATAAGGAAGATTTTAGAAGAATCATGCATCTGAATTATGGTGTTCGAGAAAAATACTACCAAATTATCAGTAGCCTTTCCATTTCAGTAATTAAGCTACTGCATTGCTTAGTAGTATTCATGGGGCCAGAATCTTTCACATGCTCCATTATCATTGCTTTGTCCTTTAAAATTGTTCCAAATTTTGACCGTCTATAGCCTAACTCTTCCAATGACTTAGGGCTTTTACCTCTTGCTAATCACTTTATTATTTCTGCTTTATTGTTAATCATGATAGTTTTCCTCAGTATTTGCACTGGACTTACACTTTGGCATGGTTACAAGGATAAGTGAGAGGAAAAATTAAGCCCCAAACAGAGTTACACACTTAACACAGTGTTAGTGGCAATGTGTGACAGGGTTGTATTCTTTCACCATATTTATTCAACCTGTACGGTGAGCACGCCAAGATGGAAAAGATCAAAATGGATGTCAGGAGAGACTCAGGAACTTGCTCTCCAGCGTAGAGATGCTAAAGCAAATGGAAGAAATGAGGTATAAGAGCTGAACAGAACATTTCAAAGGTCATTTTGAGAAGACAAAGTCAAATATTAGAACAAAATGTGCAAAGACCTGGAGTTACAAAGCCAAAAGGGAAGAACATGCTCAGCATTTCTCAAACTGAGGGAACTGAAGGAAAAATTCAAGCCTTGGCTTGTGTTATTGAAGGTTCTCTGGGCAAATTATTGAGTGATGTAGAAAGCATCAAAAGAAGGTGGAAGGAATACACAGAGTTACTGCACCAAAAGGAAATGGTCGATGTTCACCTGTTTCAAGAGGTAGCATATGACCAAGAGCCAATGATCCTGAAGGAAGACGTGCAGTCCAGTGCACTATCCTGCAGTGACCACTACTGACCAGGGGCACGATAGAAGGTCCCAGGTAGAACGTAAGGAAATGTACAATAAAACTTAAATTCATAAATAAACCATACCTAGGAGCTCTGGTAGCGTAGTGGTTACGAATTGGGCTGCGAACCTTAAGGTCAGCGGTTCGAAACTACCAGCCGCTCCTCGGGAGAAAGATGAGGCTTTCTACTCCCGTAAGGATTTACACCCTCGGAAACCCTGTACAGGGTCGCTATGGGTCGGAACCGACTCTACGGCACTTAACAACAACAACATGTTACTAATAGGAGTCCTGGTGTGGAGCTGTGGCTTAATGCGCTGGTCTGCAAAGTCAGTTTGAACTGCAAAGTCGGTGGTTCAAGCTCACCAGCTGCTCTTTGGAAACCCTATGCAGGGTCGCTGTGAGTCAGAACCAAGTTGATGGCAGTTAACAACAACAACAATGTTATCAATAGAGACCAGAGGAATCCTTGAGCCTACTGCCCTAAGATACCCTTTGCAGTTAGAAGTGAAGTAATTCTGCAGGTCACTGTTCACCCCAATAATAGAAGGGTTTATAAAATAAACAGTATCACACATGAGAAATCTTCTCCCTTAAACAACTAACAATATGAGACTACATGGTCAACATTTACTCAAAAGGAAAGATGAGAAAGGCAAGAAAATGGAACAAACAGAATGGAAATCATGAGGACGACGACACGTTGTGAAAATCATAACCCATGGCATGGAACAATTTGTATAAACATTGTAAAGGGGAACCTAAATTGTTGTTTAAAATTTCATCTAAAATGCAATAAAATGTTATTTTAAAAACACAACTAATTCAAAACAAACAAAATTCCTTTTTAATTCAGATCTAATTTCCTCCTTGTAAAAGGTTTGAATCCACCCAGAAAAAGAAAGGGCTGGCCACTGACAAGCCCACGGAGCCCACTTCTACTCTGACACACATGGGAGCTGCCAGAAGTCAGATTAGACTGCATGGCAGCTGGTTTTTTACGAGTACTTTGAGCCTGTTCTGCAATCACCCTCTGGTTTGTGGGTTGTGGCTAGGATGCTATCCCTCAGCCTCTGATTAAATAACAAAGTAGAGGGTTTTTCCTTCCTTCTTGACAAACCAGTCCTGCCTTTGACAGATAGCCCTACTTCCTGCATCCAGCCGGTTCCTGGAGGCCTGGCAGCGCCCAGCTGGCCTCTGGGGAGTTGGTTTATGCCTTCTGGATGAATTGCTTCCCCTCTCATCACCAGGAAATAAGTGGTGCTGGTTGTCACCTGTTCCCTCCTCAGCCATCAGCTGTGTAAGAGGAGACCGTTTAGGCCCATTAATCTCCCTCAAGGCACTGGGTCACTTGTTACCATTTTTCTTTTCAGAACAATCAATCTGAAAAATCCTGTGCTGCAGCATGTGCTGGAGACGAGGAACGAGGTCCTGTGTGTCTTGACACAGAAGATTGTGACCACGCAGAAGTGCATCATCTCGGAGCACGTTCAGATTGAAGAGAAGTGTGGTGGCATGGTGGGGATCCAGACCAAGACTGTGCAGGTGCAGGGCCCTAGGGGCTCCAGGCCAGTGATGGACACTTGGCCAGGGACCACTTTTGGCAGGGGTGGGAGCAGGTGGGGTACAAGGGGGAGGGCGGGCGATGTCTTCATTAGTCAAGACTTGAAGTGAGTTAATAGAAATTCAACTCAAACTGGCTTAAGCAAAATGTTTGAGCAATCTGGCTTCAGTGGTTCTTTTAGGGGTTAAGGATTTAGAGGGAGGGTAAACTGTCTGCCTGTGGTAGATTCCCTCTCAGATAGGCTCCCTCCTATGGAGGTGGCTGCTCCAGGCTGCCCTCCACTGTGGAAGCAAAGTTTCAGGGCAGGCTCTTACTGGAGCAAACTGAGTCCTGCCCATTACAGAAGTGGACCCCAGGCCAGAGCAGTAGCATATTCAGATGGGTCAGGTACACCTGGGCCAGGTGCCTTCCCTCTTGGGAGAGAGGCTTCCCTGGGATCATCAGAACTGAGCAGGCCAAATCCGCAGAGAGCCACAGAGCTGCCAAGAGCCAGGGGTCTCAAAAGTATTACTTTGCAATCAGTTCTCAAGTCCTTTGTGGATTGAGTTAAGGCAGGTCAGATGAGTATAATTATCTATCAACACATACTTGAGGGTTAAATTATACAAGTCTTGCCAAGTGGACCCATGGGCCAGTAGTAAGCTTCAGTGGAATAGGTGGCCATCAGCCCCAAGCTTTCCCTCCAGCCTGACATACACTCTGATACACTCTGATATTCTACTCTTAAGAGTTAAAATTCAAAGAAAAAAAAATTTTGTTGAGAATATATTTAGCAAAACATATACCAATTTAACAATTCCAACATGTTAAAATCCGTCATATTGATTGCCTACGTTATTCAAGGTATGTAAGCAGTCTCACCCTCTTCTGAACTCTTCCTCCTCCAGGAACATAAAGTCTCACTCCCTAAGTTTCTTATCTAATCTTTCAAGTAGCTGTTGTTCATCTGATTGAATGTAGATAGCTCAAGGCAGATGTGCTATAGTAATTAAGTTAAACTATTTGATTTTAGGAGTGCTGATGGCACTGTAAGATAATCACTGGACTGCTAGTCACAAGGTCAGTGGTTCAAATCCACCAGTCTCTCCTTGGGAGAAAGATGAGGCTTTCTGCTCCCTTAAAGATTTATAGTCTTGGAAACCCTATACAGGGTTGTTATGTGTGTTGTGTGTCAGAAGCAATTTGACAGCACCTAATAGCAACCACGGAGTCCTGGCATGGCACTCTAAATAAGCACTCAACCACAAAGTCGGCAGTTCAAATTCACCAGCCGCTCCTCAGAAACCCTGTACAGGATTGCTGTGGGTGGCGCCGACTTGATGACACTTAACAACACAAACAGCAACCACAGTAACACTGTTTGTTTACAAAAGACTTCTGGGGATATTCTAAGTTTAAGTTTAAAGATGATCTCTCAGGTTACGGGTGTTCATCCAGCCTCAATGTCTTGAGAGATCTTGGGGTTAACTTTTGACTTTTTCTAGGGGACCCAGCAAAGTTGTACGAGAGGTCTTCAAAGAGTTATGGAAAAAATGGAATGAAAAGATACTGGATTTTTCCAGGACTTTTTTGAAGCCCCCCTCTACATCTTGGAAGTTAAAATGGGGCTGAACACTGGGGAGGTTGAGCCAGGCAGGCTGGACAACAGTGCTGTTGGGGATGCCTGGTGGGAGTTGGCTTCAGTTGGTCCCCTGATATTTCTGCCTGCAGTTACCACCTGCAGAGACCTGCAGTATACCAGAGAGTCAGGGGGCTGGATTGCCACCTCGTGACCCAGAGCATCACACTCTGACCAGGATCAAGTTGCCTAAAAAGTTTTTTGATCTCTAGCTTTGGACAACAAATAGAGCTTCTCATCTTCTTCTCCCTAGGACACTGTTGGAAGGGATATTTGTGACCGTGTTTGTAGGAGAGTTTTTGCGCCTGATTTCTTGGCAGTTTTCTGGCATCCTTCTCAAATCCCGATCTCCTCCCTCCAGCCACCTCTGCCCTCCACTTTAAATAGCACAGTGTCCCACCCACAAAGCCGGGCATTGGAATCACCAGCTTGGGGATTCTCTCTCAGCTAGGCTCCCCCTGTCAAGCTTTGATATTATTTAGGACTTTTGTTAGGATTTCAGTGTTGACCCCATTACCTTTGGGGAGAGAGACTGGAACATTTTCTTGTCTTCTTTATTTAGCACCATAGATCTAGCTTCACTGTATCCCACACTTTTGGTTTTAGTGCCAGAGGTATGACCAAGCACTTGGGAGAAAGTGTAATAAGTGTGATGCCAAAGAGAGGGACATCCCAGTCACTGTCTTCTCTTCTCCTCTCTGCTGGGCTCAGTGGACATGTTCTGAGTGCCTGTGAGCAAGACACAAGGCTACCCTGATGTGGATGCCCAGAGAAGTCAGGTAGAGTCTAGGTACACAGGTGACTGGCAGCCTGGTGGAAACTATGCTTTGGCCCACAGGTGTCAGCAAAGGAGGATGGAAACGTGGTCAAGGACTCCAACGTGGTCCTGGAGATTCCAGCTTCCACAACCATTGCCTACGGTGTCATCGAGTTATATGTGAAGCTGGACGGCCAGTTTGGTGAGTGATAGCTTCTTGCTCGGAGATGGCTGAGGGGCACCTATTTGTCTTCCAAGGTACATACTGGTAGATGGTCCCTTACAACTCTGGGGATTATGGGAGAGAAGCAAGAGATAGCGGAAGAGGATGTCCCATGACTAGCTCCCTGGACCTGTAGGATGCATTAGGTGGGGCTTGGAGAGGGGACATGAGGAGAGCAGCCCCACCTTCCTGCCCCAGACACTGGTGGGGGTGGGAGTAAGCTTCCACCGGTATCAACTCTAGCATCACCGCATCCTAGGAGGTCTTGGGAAAGTTCCTGAATCTTGTTGAGTCTTAGTTTGCCTGTCTTTAGAAAGAAGATTCATTATTGTTAAGTGCTGTTGAGTTGTTGCTGACTCACAGTGACCCTGTATGGGATTTCTGAGGAGCAGCTGGTAAGTATGAGCTGCCGACTTTGTGGTTCAACCTGACGTTGTGGTCCAGTGTTTATTCCACAGCGCCACACCAGGACTCCTTAGAAAGCAGGTGGTAAGGATTAAATTAGATCGGGCATATGAAATGCCTGGCACAGGAGCCATTAATTAAGTACTCCACCTTAGCTAAAGGAGCTCTGGTAGCATAGTGGTTACGAGTCAAGCTGCTAACCTCAAGGTCAGCAGTTGAAAACTACCAGCCATTCTGTGGGAGAAAGATGAGACTTTCTGCTCCCATAAAGATGTACAGCCTTGGGAAACCCTATTCAGGGTTGATATGAGTTGGAACCGACTCCACAGCATACTGCCACCACCACCATCATCACCACCACCACCACCACCACCACCACGACCACAGCTATGTTTTAGGGGAGAAGAGGAATCCTTTCTTCAAATATATAAACATTACAGAGAATCTATATTAAGTCTTAAACAGGAGAAACAACCAGACATAGACAAACATAGATGACAAAGGTGAGGGAAAGCATCAGTATGGTGCCATGAGATTCCAAAGTTCTTCCTCCACGTGGCCACCTTCCATAGAGCACAGAGATCAAAAGGATCTCTTCCCATCACCATGACCCGGGCAGCAATACAACACACACACACACACAGACACACACACACATGTGGAAAGTAGGGAGGGAAGTTCTGTAGATAGGGGTGACAACTAAGGGGTGGGTTCAGGAAAGTTCCTGTGAGAACCAGCTAACGGAAGTGACTCAAAACTCACTTTTAAATGCACTGTGCTTCTAACTCAGGCAGTTCAGCTGTCAGAAGTGCAAGGAGTATTCAAGAAAAAGTGGTATCGGAACATGTAAATGCAGGCACAAGATGGAATTAAGCTCTGCCTTGTTGGATTTGTTTGCAGAAAGCCTTCAGATCTCACACTCTACCATAACTATCAGTAAAATCAGCATCATTATTGTTCTCTGCCCACCCCTCAATAACCCACTGCCACTGAGTAGACTCTACTTCATAGTGACCTTTTAGATCTTGGTAACACAGTTCCTTAGGGTTTCTGAGACTATATGTTTTTATGGGAGCAGACAGCCTCATCTTTCTCCTGAGGAGAAGCTGGTGGGTTTTGAACTGCCAACCTTGAGATTAGCAGTCCAACACTTATTAAGACACCAGGCATCTTTACCCCTCAATATAAAGCCAAAAAATACTCAAAGGACTCTCCGATGCTGACCACAAGTGTGTCCACGTTTGGAGATCCTAGCCACTGCCGTAGTTTGAAGAAAATAGGGACTTTATTTAACTTTTCTATGCTGATTATCTCATGCTCCTCCTCTCAGGAGAATGAAAACTGGCCACTTTTTGGGGATGTGAATACATACATTTGTTGTTGTTAAGTGCTATTGAGCCCATTTTGACTCATAATGACCCTGTATAGGGTTTCCAAGGAGTGACTGGTGGGTTTGAACTGCTGACCTTGCGGCTTGCAGTCCATTGCTCTTCTGCAGTGCCACACCAGGACTCTTAATTAAATTTAGTTTGATGAATTGTTAATGTTTCTAGGTAAGATGATGGTATTATAGTTGTTGTTAAATGCCATCAAGTTGTTTCCAACTCAGAGCAACCCTGTAAAGGGTTTCCAAGGAGCGGCTGTTGAGTTTGAACTGCCGACACTATGGTTCAAACCAACACTGCCCTCGAGTGCTTTATCACACAGTGCTATACCAGGTTGTTTATGAAAAAGACTCCTTAGTTTTTGGAGATTTATACTAAAATATTCACCAATGACATGGTAATATGTCTATGGTTTGAGTAAAAATAATGAGTATAGGGGATATGTGCATATCAAGGGGTCTGTTGGGGCCAAAGAAGATTGTTGTTAAGAGCAGTTGAGTTGGCTGGCGAGTTTGAACTACCAACCTTGTGGTTCAAACCAACTTTGCTGTCCAGCGCATTAACCCGCAGCTCCATACCACGGCTAATAGTTTTTGCAGAGGCCCGGTGTGGCCTTGTATTCTCATCACTGAACCGTTAACCACATCAGCAGTTGAAACCCATTAGTCACTCCCTGAAAACACTATACAGGTCACTGTGAGTTAGAACGGGCTCTGGATGGCAGTAGCAGCAACAGCACCGGTAATAGTCATGGAAGCTGGACAATGAGTGGATTTGAAGCCCTAGTTCTGAGACCTTTTGAAATCTTGGTCCCAACTTAGAATGCTCAGGAGAGTCTTCCTTGGTGGTGGGGGGCCAGAGCAAGCCCCTATGCACCCACCGCCAGGCCTTCAGCTCCAGGGCAGCCTGTAGATCCCTCAGGGGCCTTTAAGACGGCCTTGCTCTGCTAGGCTCCCTGTTTGCATTTCAATTTCAAACCTTTCTTCTTGCTTACTTCCGCTGTCTTTGAAAATAAACTCTACTTTGTGCTTCAGAGAAAAGAGGTACCCTGGGGGAATTCTCTGTGATCCTCTGGCTCCCCTCCCACACCCTGGCCTTAGAAAGCTGCTTCCATACTCTTTCCCACTGCCAAGAGCAATGCCTTTGCAGCTTGGGGGGCAGGCACGGTTCTATGTGACTCACTGCCTGATTTTTCAACCAGTTCTACTATTTTTGCCCATCTGTGCTTTCTATCAGTCTTGACACAGAATGTTCTGATCCAGCTTCATAAACGTAGGCTTGCAGGGACTGGAAGGAGGGGGGGACCTGAAGAGCCTGCCTGACTCCTCCTCCTACCTAGTAGGTGGGATTACATCTGAGAAGGGCCCTTTTTGTCCCTTCCAACCAGGAGAGGAGGTCATTTGATGAAGCGTCCTTTGCCAGCAGGGGCGGGGTGGGGATGAGGGTGGTGGGGGTTTCTTCCCCTCTCTAGCAGCATCCTTCCCACCCCCCAGTTCCAGGCCACATGTGTAGACAATTGAAAACATTTTTTTATCTTTATCATTCTGAACATTAGCCTTGTACTTCTATATAAGTTGTTGTTGTGAAGTGAGTTGGTTCTAACCCATAACGACCCTGTACATTTGTGCTTTATTTGTACAGGAAATCTAGCCCAACATTTGTCAATTTTTCCACGTGTCCAATTTAAAGGAGCTCTGGTAGCATAGTGGTTATGAATCGGGCTGTGAACCGCAAGGTCAGCAGTTCGAAACTACCAGTGGTTCCACTGGAGAAAGATGAGGCGTTCTGCTCCTGTAAAGATTTACAGCCTCGGAAACCCTGTGCAGGGTTCGCTGAGTCGGAACCGACTCCACAGCACTTAACAACAACGACAATTTAGTGACATCAATTACTTTATATTGTGCGCCGTAAACAGACACTCACTGCTTCCTAAACAATGTTTCTCCCTGCCCGCTCCCCTCTGCTCCAGATAAAAATTAACAGTGAGGGGCTTTCCGGTGCCCAGGCTCCCTCCCCACAGGCTGACCTGACCACAGGAATTGGGTGTTTGCCACTTTTGTCCTGAGTCTGGCTCATGCCAGCATCTCCTCGGCACCCCCTGCAGACTCTGTTGGCTTTGCCTCTCTGATCCTTCCCCTTCTGTTGCATCCTAGCAATGTACCAACATGAAGGTTCTAAAATAGAAATGTGATCATTTCAGTCCCCTTCCATGCCTCCTGTGGTCCCAAGGATAGAGTCTGTGCTTCTGTGTCTCCAGCTTTCCCTCATCAACTCAGTGGTCTTCCCGGGGATCAGCCTGTCCTCCTAGAATGAGCCCCTTTCTCTCTTACCCCTGATCCTCTGCCTTGAGCGCCTTGTGCCTGACTCACTCCTCCCAGATCTGCTTCACCCAAGTTACCTTTGCTGGTCTTGTCCCACCTGCCATTCTGGCTCCAGGGACCCCTCATCTGCCTCCTCAGACAGCATCCAGTTAGCCCCTGACCTCTTCTTACTGTGTTTGTAGTCCTGGCCTGTGCCTGGTGCTTTTGTCAGTGTAGCATCCAGCACAGTGCCTGGCACAGAGAGAGCAGCGGTCCTTTGACATGTGATGGATGAACAGCCTTCTGAGGCTGTACATGTGGTGTTGCTGTGGACGCTGAAAATCCCAGTTGGTTCAGCATTGTTTGTGAGCTAGCACAGGGGTCCTTAGGTGCCCAGGTGGTGCAGCGGTTAAGCACTCAACTGCTCACCAAAAGACTGGCAGTTCAAACCTCCAGCTCCTGCTGGAAAATGTGACAGTCTGCTTCTGTAAAGATTTACAATGTTGGAAACACTGTGGTGCTCTGTCTTATAGAAGTTGCTAGCAGTCATCATCGGCTTTTTCACTGGCCTCCTAGATTCCTGATGGGGTGCTGTAGGATAAATATGGACTGCAAGGTCGGTTTGAAAAGCAACTCATCAGCTACTCCTCGGAAACCGTATACAGGGTTGCTGTGGGTGGTAACTGACTAGACAGCACTTAACTTGGCAGTGTTTTAACAAGCCTGGTCCCTGTCTTCGTGTTGTTTTGTTCTTTTTTGCCCTGCCTCTACAAACTCCGTGGGCCAGCGACCTGGCCTGTAAAACACAGAAGAGAACTCATAACTGCCCATTTTTCCTTTCTCTCTGTGCTTCCATTGAAGAAAACTCCTCAAGTATGGAATCGTTCTTCGTGTTGTGTGTGTGTGTGTTAGTTTCAGTCAATAACACATTAAGCTGTGCTTCTCTGAGGAAGAGGGAGTGGTCTGTGACAGTCATGTGAGTTAGGAACATGCACCCAGTTTCCTGCCATGAATCCCATCAGAGTCTTGGCTGGAGAGGTCTCTCCTCACTGAGCCTGCGTGACAAGTGCTGAGAACTGGTCCTGGCAATGGAGCACGAAGGATCAGGAGCAACATCATCATCTGGGAGCGTGTCATACACAATCCAGTGCCTGGTGCAAAGGATAGAGCCTGAGGCAGGACATCAGTAAGGGAAGCCAGTGGATGAGTCAGTGCAGATTAGCCCACTTAAGACACGTCTAACTTTATGGGCATCATTAGTGTCCACAGCAAATGAGTAAGTGTGTTAAGATCCATGCTGCCCAGATTTCTTGCAGATAACATGCTCTGCTGCATTTTTATTTGAAACCCTGGCTTAAGGGGGCAAATGGTTAAATAGAAGCTGAAAGAGAATCCACATTCATGTGCTTACTTATTGTGTTTGCTGAGGACATAGCTGTTACATTTGTACCTTGACTCTCAGCTATGAAAGTGTTTAAGGAAACTTGTCTTTTTATACTTAAAAAACCCCCAAAAACTTACTATGGAAAATTTTACAAAGTAGTAAAAGTATTAAAAATCCTTACCTATCTAGTATCCAGCTTCAGTAACTTGAGTCATGCTTCATCTATACCTTCACCCCACCTTTTGCTCCCAGCAAATTATTTTGAAGTAAATCCTAGGTATTATATGAGTACCTCCAAAAGCTTGGTAGAAAATGGAATAGAAAGATAATAGAATTTTTTCCATAAACTTTCTGAAGCCCCCTTTGTTGTTTTTGTCAGTAAATATATCAGTATTTCTAAATGACTTTTTTTCCAAGACTACTGTTGCCTTTACTGAACTTTTCATTCATAGATGCATATAGAACATTCTGTATTCTTTTGCACCTGCCTTTTTTTCACTCAGCATAATATTTGTGAGATTCATTCATATAATTGCAGAAATCAATAGTTCATTTTGATTGCTGTTCTGTTTACTAGTGGAAGAAAGTTAAGGTTCTTTAAAAAACAAAAAACACTGAGCCACAATGCCATTGTGCGCATGAGTACATTGATAAGAATTTCTTAATACCATCTCTGTCCACATTTTCCCAGTTGTTTCATATATGGTGGGGTTTTTTTGTTTAGAGTTCATATCAGAAAAAGGAAATACTTCTAATGTTTCTAATATAAAAGTGTTTGAAAAATTGCTTCCTGTCTGTTCAGAGTATACACTGTTAAGAACAGTCATTTCTCATGTATTTGTATGAAATGTCTGGGTATATTTTGTTCAAACAACATAACATGTTGGAAACAGGCATGAAATGGGGTGGGGGTGAGGACTGGTGTGTTTCTCGACCCCACTAGGTAAGGCTGAGGGTCTATAAAAGGAGCCCTGTTATCACTATGGGCCAAGTGTTGATCTGTTAACTGAAAGGTGGGTGATGAATGCACCAGCTAATCCACAGGAGAAAGATGAGGCTGTCTTGGAAAATCTAGACAGTCCTGGAAATGCAAAAGGAGCAGTCCTACTCTGCCTGTAACGTCGCTATGCGTTGGAATCAACTAGAAGGCAATAGGGTTGGGTGTGGTTTTGGGGTCTAAGATGTACCAGTGACTCTGTGCCTTACCTGACCTTCTCTCCTTTGTTACAGAATTCTGCCTCCTCCAAGGGAAACATGGTGGCTTTGAACACGAGAGGTCAGGGCACTCCGTGGAACTGGACCCCATGGTCTTTAGAATGTTTACCTATACCGACATGCCGGATGCTGGACCTGGAACTTCTTCCCCTGCGGGACCACTCAGCGCTTTGAAACAAGGTAGTGCCAACAGTGGGGGCATGGGGTGAGCACAGTACCCCAAGATGTGGTGTGGCCTTCAGGATCAACATCTCTTATGTAAGCAAGGATGGTCAGTGGCCCTGTAGAAAACATGGGGCAGAGAGGCTGGTGTGGGATGCACCTTGGCTGGGGTCCCAAGGAACCTCAGACGTGGATACTGTGTTTTGAGGCATGCCTCTTGTCATCAAGTTGCTTTTGACGCATGGTGCCCCATATGTTAGCGTAGAATTGTTCTCTAGGGCTTTCTTGACTGTAATTTCGGTGGAAGCAGATCTCTTGGGCCTTCGGAGGTGCTGCCGGGTGGTTTGAATTGCCACCTTTAGGTTAGCAGCTGAGGGTAAACCATTTGTGGTGCCCAGAGGCCTCTATCCTTAATGGAGCAGGGTGGAAGACTGAAGCCTGAAGGAACCAGGCCCTGGCATTGTTCCTTTGTCTTAACCACAGAAGCTCTTTTGACCACTAAGAATAGCTAGTCCAGTAGCAAAGGTAGAGAACCCAGAGTTTGTATCGGCTTCATTAGTTAGGCTTTGGTGTCAAGACAAATGACACTTTGCTAATGTTGTTAGCGTGCTCTCATGGGGGCTCTGTATCCACATGGCATGAAGCCGTGTGTCACCTCAGGGGGCAGCAGTACCTGTGACATGTCAGTGGTAGTCTGAGGCACCGAACTAGCATATCTGGGATGCACCTCGAGTACCCTTTACTCTCCGTGCCATCTTCTGTTATAAATGCTGTGTTGTTGGCATTTTGAGTCTGGGGTGAGTTTTTTTTTGCTAGGTGTGGGGAGTATTGTGGGTTTTAATAGTAGAGGAGTTAAGAAGTTGGGCAAAGAAAACAAGGAAATATAATTAGGTAAGAGCTTAGGGAACAGCTTATAACAGCTCAGACTATGCTCTGGCTTGAAGGCTTAGAAGAATGACAACAGGCACCAGTGGGTTCCAAAGCAGATTCTTTTGTTTCTTTAACAAAAAGGCCAGAACTCGCCAATCTTAAAATAAGGCTTTGGGGTGGGCATCAGGGTGTTAGTCCCCCCAGAGGCGCCATGAAAGAATGACCTGATGATCTACTTCCAGAAAGACAGACTTACTGAACACCCCGGGGAGCACAGTTCTCCTCGGACACACACGTGGTTGCCACGAGTGGGAGTGGACAGGATGGCAGCTCTTTCGTTCCCATCGTATGCGGGGCTGTAGGCCTCTCCTCTGCCTTTTTGGAGATTGGGAATTGGATGTGATTTCAGCTGCTACTTAAGCCATATGGCTGGTTAGAACCCAGTAGCCATGACCCCACAGCCTTGACCTTCATGACGGGGATGTCTGTGAGCTGCAGCTTTCCTAATCTCCCCACAAGTCCTCCCTTTGAGTTCGTTTTGGTCATCCTGTGGGTGGAGAGGGGTAGGAGTTGGCTTGGCTTTGGTGTCCTCAGATCCTAGACTAACCAGGACATTACAGCATTATCTGGGGCTGGCAGAGCCCTACTGTCAAGTCCACTCTGAATCATAATATCCCCAACCTGGGCTGACTCATGTGTGGCCGACTAGAACTGTGCTCCATAGGGTTGGTTTTTCAGAAGCAAACTGCCAGGCCTTTCTTGTGAAGTGCTTCTGGGCAGATTCAAGTCCCTAACCTTTCAGGTAGCAGCCAAACCCATTGACTATCTACAACAATAAATTCCAGCAGAGGCCTTGTTGTCCTTAGTTGCCAAAGGATTGTGACTCATGGCCACCCCATGTGTGCAGAATAGGATTGCTCCATAGGGTTTTCAAAACTCTGACCTTGTGGAAACAGATCACTAGGCCTGTCTTCCAAGATGACTAACTGCCACCCTTTCGGTTAGTAACCATCGTGCAGCACCAGTTTGTGTTTATGGTAGTATTCCTGTGTCTGTCAGTTACTGCTGTTACGCAGACCTCTCTGCGGGACTTTCTACAACTGCTGGAGTTTGTCATCTACCCACGTGGTGCATTTAGTCATCAATATGTATCTCTGCCTTATGAAAGCATGATCCTTCCCATCAGGTGCTTGTTTAATATTTTTAAATACACTTTGGTTAGTTGTATTAACAACTTTTTACTATCTCTTAAAATTTTTTAATAAGGATTTATGTGGGTGAGGCTCCCAAGCAGCCTGCAGACAATGTAAACAGCAGCAGAATGGATCTCGGACCTCATCCTCGAGGAAGGGTGGGAAGGAAAGGGATCACTGTGTTTGCTGGGAAACTATGAGAGCCAGGCCCTTTGGAAACTGTGCCTTAAATTTTAAAGAATACAAAGTCTGCAATGAATTAGAAGGGTGCGAAAAATAATGTACTTTGGAATTTGTCTAGCTTAAAGCATCATGAAAGTACCGACTAATGTTTATTAATTCAGGCTTGACGGTATACTTCTGCAGAAATCATGCTAAAGAGCAGTCTAAATGACTTTTCCAAAAAGAATTGATTGGACTTAATTTAGTGAGTCATTAGAGAAAACACCGGAGCCTGAAATACAAAAGTGGGCTTCTCTTCTCTCTCCCTTCCTTATGACAAGAGTTTGGTGGCTTACTTACTGAGAAACATTCCCGAGTCCCACTGTGACTTTGCAGGTGGAAATATTAAGAAAAGAACTGAAGAGAGCGGACTTTAAAAAGCAAGAGATGCTTGTCTTTGCTGTAAGACATGCACAGCCATCCTCAACTAAGTATGCTCTGTTGCTTTAACAGATGCTCTGCTCTTGGAGAAGAATTTTCATCCCTTTGCGAAGCTGCCAGAGAAACAGAAGATAGTTCTGAGCAACATCCTGCAGAGGATTCTACTTGATGATGAATTATTGATGGTCCTGGAAAGTGTGGTAAGTCTAGACATTCTCAGAGCAGTATCTTCACTCTGGGTTTTCTGGAAACCTGTGTGGGCTACACATGTCTTGGGACAAGACTCTGACATTCCTTTAAAAACATATCTACCTTCTTTTAACCCTCAACCTTGTTCTCTTTCTCTCCGACTTGCACATTCTTAGTTTCCTCAATGCAGAAAGGCTGCTGGCATTAGCGATAGAGTTGGTATATTACTTTTTTACGACTGTTGAAATGATCACAAACCTGGAGACAATAGACATGGAATTTCTCACAGGTCTGGAAGCCAAATGTCTGAAATCAAGAGTGTTTACAGTTTGCAGGACCATGCACCCTCCAAAGGCTCTGGAAGAGGATCCTTCTTTGTCCCTTCCAGTGTCTGCTGGCTTCTAATGTTTCTTGGCTTGTGGCCACATCATTCCAATCTCTGCCTCTATGGCCTGTCTGTTTTTACCGACTCTCAAAAGAACCTCCATCATTGGATTCAGGGTACCTCCATCATTGGATTCAGGGCCCACCCTAATTGGCCCACCCTAATCCAGGATGTTTTCATTTTTACCTCATTCCAAGTACAGTGTCATTTTGAGGCTACATGGGGACACAACTCAGAAAGGCCACTATTTAACCCACTGCAAAGGGGACATCTGGCAGGACCCCAAAAGTCATCCTGTTTTATTTAAACAGGGAAGTGGGCCTTTGCATTGTTCTGTTTTGCAGCAGAAGGAATTCCAGGGAGGCTTAACTCTTGCTGTGATGGGGGACACACCAGCTACCAACCTCCATGTAACCACGTTTTGTGTCCTTTATCTAGAGCTGAGGCACTAGGAATCAAATTTTCTTTCTCCGCTATGCAGAGAGTTTGAGCTATGATGTAATGCTTTATGGTTTCCAGGAAAGCAAAACCAGGGAACCATATATTCATTCTGTTGTTAAGTGCTATCTAGTTGGTTCCGACTCATAACAACCCAAAACATATACATGTATATATAAAAAGAGAAGTTTATTATCAAAGAATTGGCTCACAATTGCAGAGTCCCAGCTCCCCTAGCAGAAGAGAAAGTCCCTCCTGCATGTCCATTATATTGGGAGCAGGCTGCACCCCAATGATGCATCTATCTCTTCAACTGATTGTCCTCTCATCATAGAGCTAACTGTGCTTGTATTCAGTTTCATCAGCATGGGACTAAGCACATCCCAACTGCTAAACCTCTGGCAATCCTGGCCTAGTCAGGTTGACACAAAACCCTAATCAATATAGTATGCATATTATTTTTCCCTCTTGAAATTTTTTTGTCACTTAGTGTTGTCACATAGAGACTCTGTGCCAAAGAGCAGCTGGTTTGAACCCACTGACCTTGGGTTCAAAGCAAGCTTGTGGTCGAGTGATTATCTCATAGTGCCATACCAGGACTCGATTAGATTGTGCCTAAAATACCTTAGTCACTGGCACTGAACCCACAGTGGTTGAAATCATCTTGCAGCTCAGGATACCTGTGCATTCGGGAGGCCCTGTTAGCCCCAGGGAGACACACAGGGTTCAAAAACTCTACTGACTTTTACTTCCAAGAATAGCTCCTTAGGATAGGAAAATGTCAGGCCAGCAGCTGCAGAAAGAAAGCACTGCCCCCTTGTCAGATGTGGAGAAGCAGGCTCGCCCCGGTGGGTGGTGGGGACACAGGTGGAGCTGGACAGGAGGCACCAAGCCAACAGAGTACTGGGTGGTGTTAAAGACCACACTGGGATGGCTTTGAAGACCAGCTGTGTCATTCCAAATTCAGAGCACCACTTCTGATAGCTTCCTCTGACAAGGAAGACCCTGGTTTCTGTATTCTTGGCATTCTTTGGTTCCTTGGAGATCTTCACCTGCCATCTGTCTTTCGTGCATTAGTTAGTGCTTGCTTATCTGTCTGTGCAGTTCTTTGTAAATGCAGAACATACCATAACAAAATCCGATTCCCAGGGAGGAAAAAGACCTGTGGATCTTTCTGATTGTTGTTAAGTACCAGTCAGTTCCAACTCACAGTGACCTGTCTAGGGTTTCTGAGGAGCAGTTGGTAAGTTTGAACCACCAACCTTGTGGTCCAGTATTATTCTATAGTGCCACACCAGAACTCCAATTTACCGCTTGGAAAACTTAGGGAGCAGTACTTCAATTCTGTTAGAGGGGGTCACTGTGAGTCAGAATTGCTAGGATGGTACACAGCAACGAAAAGGGAAAAAGAACTGGTGCTTCTGAAATTAATTTCGAGTGCAGCCCAAGAGGGGCAAGATCAGGAACACAAGAAAAAATGGATTGTTAGATGTCATGGAGTCAGGTTTGATATATGGGAAGATGAGAACATAACCATCTTGGTTGTTATGGATTAAATTGTGTCTTCTCATAATATGAAGATCAAAGAGCACAGCCTTCAGTATGGACTGCCCTTGAAGACAAAAATCCTCAGCACTGGACCAATAAATAACATCATGATAAGTGGAGAAAAGATCGGGGTTCTCAAAGGCTTCCTTTTGCTTGGCTCCACCATCACCACTCATGGAAGCAGCAGTCAAGAAAGCAAATGATGTTATTGTATTAGGCAAATCTGCTGCACAAGACCTCTTTGAAGTTTTCAAGAGCAAAGATATCAGTTTGAGGACTAAGGTGCACTTGACCCAAGCCATGGTCTTTTCTATAGCTTCATAAGCCGGTGAAAGTTGGACAGTAAGGAAGTTGGACAATAAGGAAGACCATAAAAGTACTGATGCATTTGAGTTGGTTGTGACTCAGCGACCCTGTATAGCGTTTCTGAGGAGTTTCTGTTTGATTTGAACCTCCGGCCTTGGGGTTCAAGCTGACCTTGCTTAGTGAATTTTGAAAGTACCATGGACTTCCCAGAAGTACAAAAGATATGTGTTGGAAGAAGTACAGCCAGAATGCTCCTTAGAAGCCAGGATGGCAAGGTTTTCTCTCTCATACTTTGGACACATTATCAGGAGGGGCCAGTCCCTGGAGAAGGACATTATGCTGAGTAGAGGTCCTACAGAATAATTCGCTGGACTGCAAGGCTGTTGGTTCAAACTCAGCAGCCACTACACTGAAACCCTATACAGGGTTGCTATGAGTTGGAACCAACTCATTGGCACTTACCACTTACCAACAATAGAGGGTCAGAAAGTAAGAGGAAGACCCGCAATGTGATGGATTGTCACAGTTACAACAGCAATGGCCTCAAGTGTAGCAAACACTGTGAGGATGGATCACTGGGCAGTGTTCTGTTCTGTTGTGTATAGGGTCATGATGGCACCAATAATAACAAAATTAGCCTTTGTTAGGCTAATAAGACCAGAACCTTGTAGGGTGTGCCCTGCACTTAAAATAGCAAGCACTAATGGGAGATAGACAGGTGGAGATCTCCGAGGAAGCAGGGAACCTCAGAACTACAGAGACAAAGGGTCTTACCCCAGACCTGGTGCTGAATTCAGAATTCTTACCTTCTGAGCCACGAGAAAAGAAACGTCTGTTCTTTAAAACCATCCCATGATAGTGGCTCTAAATAAAAAAGAAGATTATGGTGTTCCAGCCTCTAGCCATGCTTCCAGCTGCCACCTCCATCCGCAGTGGCCACCAAGCCGCCCTGGCACCACCCACTGCTTCCTCTGCTCAGTGCCTCTTGTCCAGATTCACCTGTCCCCCAGCCACCGGGCTAGCTGCTTCTCCACATCTGCGGGGTGACTGACATTCTTTCTGCAGTGCTGGGCCCCAGGGGTGGTGAAGGCACAGGGTGTAGGGGTTCACCAGCCTGCCTCTTCTCTCCCCTCTGCCCTGCAGTTTGATGATGTGGCCCATGGCCTCTCGCCCCCACTGGCAGCGATGCGGGAGCTGATGCCTCTGCAGCAGCAGGACCTGACGACCTTTCTGCAGTTGGTGGGCTGTAGCCTGGTGGATGGGTACCCGGGGCAAGAGGCCGCCCTCAGCAACCAGGAGCTCTTTGCAGCAGCCTACTGCTTGGTCAGCGCACTAGCAGGTATGTAAAAAGAAAAGAAATGGCCGTTGTTGCCTAGAAATCACTTTCCTCCCTGTACATGGTACTTGGGGATGCTTTGGTACAGATTGTTCCCTCCCTTTCAGCAGTACAGAGAGGACGCTAGGGGCAGGCGGAGGATGTTGACAGAATTACCATGAGGGCACAGACTAGCATGAAGGAAGTCTTTCTGCCTCCTATCCCCCGTGTTGGGGCCGGCTCTTTTGATACATACCCCCTCAATCACAGAAATCACCTCCCAAAATACAGCCTGGAACTGAGGGGCAGCAGCATTCGTTTGTGGACTGATCTCCTTTCAGCTCTGGGATCCTCTTGTGTGGGTCTGTATCCTTACCTCCCTGGCCTGCATGCAGTGTGGTCACTGCTGGGCCCAGCGTGGGCTCCACAACTTCCATGTTACCAATTGGCCCTCCCAGAGCAGCGACATCCTGTCATGAGGGGGTGGATAGAGACTGACAACACAGCCCTTCCTCCCCTCCCATCTCTCTGCTTCTCCCCTCACCGGGCATCTGTGGAATGAGAAGGGGGTTACCTTTTATGAGGAAGCAGGGCTTTCAGTTCCTTCTCAGGAAAATAAGATGTGGCAAACCAGCCTCTGTGTCACCAAGAGCTTCCTTCCAGGGTGGTATGAGTCAGGGCATTGGGTTCCTGACACATTCAGAGTCCCTTCCCTGGACCTCAACTCAGGAACTGCTATTCCTCTCATTCCCCCTCGCCCTCCCCCCTGCCACACACACACACACACATACACACACACCAGCTTTATCACCTGAGGAATGTGTCATGTCCTGGATAAAAGTACGACTGCGTGACCAGGACAGGACCTACAGATCTGTTTCAGTGTTCATTGTTATGAAGTGCCATCGAGTCGGTTCCAACTCATAACAACCCTGTATAGGGTTTCTGTGGAGCAGCTGGTGGGTCTGAACTGCCGACCTTGTGGTTCGCAGTCCAGTGCTGTGTTAGCATTAATTTATTAGATTTTGGGTTCAGATATTCTGTCGGGGGGCTAATCCACATCTTGTAAGAAGCCTTTTCTTCACATAACCTATTACCTATTACTTACTGAGATGTTTCCATCAATGGGCTGGGCCAGTCAGGTCAGATAGTTGCACAAGGCTGCATTTGCAATCTACGGTAGTCCTCTCGCTGAGCCAGGCCACAGCTTCAAAGTCTCTGCCACCTTGCACAAGGGCAGCTCTTGGATTTGACTCATTAAACACAGTTGCTATTTCAGAGCTAGAAGCCCAGGGATTTGTGCGGTCTTTAAATGCAGCTGCAAAATCTCTGCAGCCAATTTCTAAAACCAAAGATGCCCTTTTCCCACCTCTCGGAACCTGTGGGCTCTCGAGCTCTGGTGAAAGTTCTTTTGTTAATGCCCTCAGTAATCCTGGCTCTTCTGGGCTGACCTTTCGCTGCTTCAACCTTTCTCTCCTTAGAATCTGGGAAAAGTGCTGGCATCAAAAAATGCCTCTTTTCACGTGCCACCTCCCCACCCCCGTCCTAAGTAATCATAGCTGATTTTAGCTTTGTGGTGCTTCTGCCCATTTAAAGGACTTCAGTGCCGGTGTCTGACCTCTCTTCTGAGAAGCCGTCTCCACTACTTTGAGCCCTAAAGTGAGCCTAGTTTGTAAAATAGAAACATTATGCGCAGGAGCAAGCAGAATCATTTATATGCCATTACAGGAGTCTATACTGTGCTTTGAAGAGCACTGGTGGCACAATGGTTAAAGTGCTTTGCTGCTACCCAAAAGCTCGGAAGTTCAAACGTACTGCTGCATACTGCAGGAGAAAAGATTCCGAAATGCTATGGGGCAGTGTAGGGTGGCTATGAGTTGGAACCGACTCCCTGGCAGTGAGTTTATATGGTCTTAGAAACCAGATGGAGTCCTGGTATGGCACTATAGGATAAACAATGGACTGCTAACTTCAAAGTCTGCAGATCAAACCTACCAGCTGCTCCTTGTAAACTCTACACAGGGTCACTATGAGTCAGAACCGACTCAATGGCACTTAACAAGGAGGCCCTGAGGTGGGAGGCAGCATCTAGTTCGTGTTCTCAAGAAAACCTGAGTGGGGCAGTAGTGTGAGTGGGTAAGCTCAGGCAGAGACTATTCTTCTACCTCATATTCTGAGCACCTAGCAACACTTGACTCCTTTTCTCTCTTGCCTTTTGAAGCTCAAAGGGCAACTTGTTCATCCCCTAAGGGAATTGGAGTCCTTTGAGGACCAGCTTCCATTCGGCTCTGGGAGGCATTTCCTCTCCGGGGCTCAGCAGGGCCCTCCTGTACCTGCTGTGGAACGCTAGGTGTGCCTGGAGCCCTGCTACGGTTTCCATCAGTTCTGTTGTGCCAGCCCTTCGGCCGGAGGCCACGCTGCAGTCTCCTCCTGAAATGTTTGATGGCATGGGTACAACCTTTCATAGTTTGCACAGTGCACTGACAAGACACCAAAACCCTGTGGTAAGTCAGATGAGGAAACTGAGGCTCCTCAGAGAGGTGTATACACATGCAGTGGGTGTTTTCTGGTTTTCCACACAGGCTCTCCTGTTTGTGTCTACAGCTCTTGATGGGCAGTGAATGCCAGGCAGTATCCTCTGATGGAACATAGCTGGTTTCTGGGCCCCTAGATCTGTTCTCAAAAAGGCCAGTGCTGCCTGTTTAGAGCTGTTCATTCATTTGTATTCAGCATTTACTGAACACCTACTCTGTCAGGCTGAGGCAAGTGTTAACCCTGGGCTGTTCCGGTTACTATGGATGTTTGGGGAACTGACTTATGATTTTTGTCTCTTGCAGAAATGCCAGATAACGCAACAGCTTTACTGGGCACTTGCTGCAAACTTGAGATTATTCCTACATTATGCCAACTGGTAAGGAGCTTTTCAGATGGGGATGGGTAGCAACGGGGATGAGGGGAGGCAGGTGCTTACACTAGGCTTCACAATCAGCAGCCCATTGCCATCGTGTTAATTCTGACTCATAGTGACCCTACAGGACATAGAGCAGAACCCTGCTCCCTAGGGTTTCCAAGGCTGTCCTCCTTATGGAAGCATACTGTCACATCCTTCTCCCTCAGAGTGGCTGGTGAGCTCGAACTGCTGACATTGTGGTTAGCAACCAAGTGCTTTTAACTGCTGATCAAGCGGGACTCCTGCCCCTTCAAGATAGGTTAAAAAAAATGAACCCGGTGGCCTTTGATTTAGTCTACCTCATGGTGCCCCACCCCACGTTATAGACTAGGACAATGCTTTGTCGGGTTTTGTTAGCTGTGAAATTTATGGAAGCAGATGATAAAGTTGCTGGGTGGGTTCCACTGCAACCTAAGTCAGCAACTAATCACAAACTGCCTTTGCCACCTAGACTCCTTCAAGATAGCTGGTTGTTGTTGCACTTATATGTAACATACGTGTGTATACACGTGTGTGTGTACCCAGAGTCTAAGTAGAGGCCCTGAGAGGAGGAATTCGATTGGTAAACCTTTGAGCAATGCCAGGATTGCAGCCCTGTCTTTAGATACCACATATTGTGTTGTGTGGAATCTTGGCCACGGTTGGTCTTGATGCAGAATGGTTAAGGAAGGAGCCAGACATCTGTGTTCTGCAGTGCATCAGATTCACAGGGAGGAGGAAGGTACTTAGGCGGGACTGCCTCGTCTGGGTGACCCCGTCAGTCTTTCTCATTCTCTCCTAAGCTTGGTACCCAAGAGCTTAACCCCAGAGGGTCAAGGTTAAGTTTTTAAAGTCACAAATTGGATCATTTAGAAGTTTCCGAGATGACTGTCACGTAGCTTCTGCAGGTGTGGTGCAGCTTGGGGCACCTAGCCTAACAGGCCAGCATGTTACGTGGGCCCAAGGACCACACAGCCTAGCACTGTGTTCAGCTCTGGAAAGAATGTGCTAGGGTAGATGACCTAGGTGTTACACTGTTGCTGTCAAATCTACTCCAAGTCATGGCAACCCCATGTATGTTTGGGGTACATATTCCATAGGGTTTTTAATGGCTGATAAGGGGGGCAAGTAGATCATCAGGCCTGCCTTTGAAAATGCCTGAGTGGACTCACAGCAACACTCTAGGATAGCGTTGAAGGGCTCATAGAGTTTCTTTACAGGAGTGGACAGCCTCACCTTTCTCCCATGGAATGGCATGCCATCAGGGGTCCTTGACTCTCTAGATTTGTGGTTGTGTGCCATCATGTTGATTCTCTTAGCAACCCTTAACAGGGTTTCCCGAGGAATGGCTGGTGGATCTGAACTGCTGACCTTTTAGTTAGGAGTTGACTGATTATCTTACAGGATCCCCACTTAAGGATTTTGTTGTTGTTGTTAAATGCCGTCGAGTTGGTTCTAACTCAGAGTGACCCTTGTATAGATAGGGTTTTCAAGGCCCTGAAATTGGTTACCTTATCTCCTCTGGGCACATTGAGCACTATGGTTGGTACTCTTAGTACCTCCTTTTGTAACAGGGACTGTGGAATCATTCCAGAGAGCAGTTTTAAGCATCACTTACAATTGTAAGCAGTTGGCCCAGATGAATGCTGTTTTCTTATACAGCAGCTGAAAAATGTGCCAGCTGAGGGTAAAGGAGTGGCGGCTAGCTCGGTTTTGGAAACCAGAAGTATCATTAGCTTAATTGTATGCATTGATGAGTAAGACTATAGCTTTGCCTCCACAGCCTGCTCCCTCTTGCAGCAGCTGAGTGTTCAGTATTTACAGAGCCTTCAATTCCATTGGGAAGTAGGAGCTCAGACCACATTAAGTGACCAACCTCTTCCCAGCACTCTCAGCATATCTTTGTGTTGCTTCAGTTTAAGCATAGCCACTAGAGCATACTTGAAGTTCCTAAATGGAAGGTGTCTGCTTTTACACAGGACTATCTACTGGCTGTGGTGCTGTAGGATAAGCATTGCACTGCTAACTACAAGGTTGGTGGTTCAAACCCACCAGCCATTCCATGGGAAAGATGAGACTTTGTGCTTCCGTCAAGATTTACAGCTTCAGCAACTATATACACAATTGCTGAGAGTCGGAATTGACTCGGTGGCAGTGGATTTGTTTATACACTTGCACAGAAGTCCCTGTATGGCACGAATGATTAAGCACTCAATGGTGGCAGTTCAAAAATCCCCGCCCCAGAGGTTCCTTGGGAGAAAGGCCTGGTGATGTGCTTCCTAAAGGTAACACAACCTTGCGCCTTGAGCGCCCTACTTAACAGTTCCGCTCTGCAACACACGGCGTCTCCGTGAATTGGAGTTGACTAAATGGCAACTGGTTTAAGCCAGTACAGCGGCATGTATTTGCTTGTTGGGGCCTCTCAGTGTCTTCCTGAGATTATATCTTCATATAATCTCTCCATAGATATATCATTAACGATGGGGCACAAAAGCTACCTCCATCCATGTCTCCTCTTGTCTGGGGGCTAGTGTGAGGGAGGCTATTTGAAGGGCATTTGAGAAAAGTTTCATGAACAAAAACATCTTTACCCAGAACTGGGACAAAGGTGAGTGAAGAGTCATTGTTAGGTGCTGCTGTCAGGTCACTATGGGTCTCTATGAGCCAGAAGTGACCTGACAGCGACAGGAGAATTGTCTCACAGGGCTTTTAGTCTAATCTTTAAAGCACAGACTTCTGGAGTCCCCCGTGGGTGACTAAGGAAGGAAACGGAATGAGCTGCGGAGATGGCATTCGCCCTTCTGCACCCATATAGCTCGTTCTGACATCACCATCTGAGGGGTGTTTAGTCGTTCTGTTAGTGCATGGGGTTGCTCTGAGTCACAGCCTTCTCAATAGCACCTAACAACATCAAGCCTGTGGTTATAGTGTATGAGTTGTTTTAAGGTGTAGCTTTATGAGATGGATTTTGGTAGTAAATTCACAAGCGCTCTTATATTCAAATATGTGTTACACTTTAGAAGCTGCGTCATACTTTCAAAATGGTTGCGATTGCACAGAACAGTTTTAGAATTTGGTGCTAAAAGTTTATTTCAAAATCAATGGTATACTTAAGATAGTTTCAAATCCAAGGGTTAAGTGTAAAAACATTATTATTAGAGTTCTAGTTCATATATGTGTAAGTTGATTACAAACATGCTTAAACATATCTGTGGGCTCAGTGGATGGCTGTAGACAAGTTCTCTCGGTACTATACTTTTTTTCTAAGCAAAGCCCAATCAAAAACAGTAGCTTCTGAGGGAAGCTACATTGAGAAATGACAGCTTCACATTTTGATATTTTATACTTTTTGACTAACCAATCAATACTCATTTGATATGTGAGCACTTGTGTTCTTGGCAGGATAAATGGTGAACAAGACAGATAAGATCCCTGTCTAATAACCAACCCCTGTTCTATTAAGGGGAAACGGACTCAACAGTGAACATCAGGAAGATAATGTCAGCTAGAACACAGTATAACTTACAGCAACCCAGTAGGATTCAGTAGAACTTCACTTGTGGTACAACGACTAACTCTCTTCTGCAGCCAAGTCACTGTTGGGTTCAAACCACCACCTTTCCAGCAGCTGAGCATGTAACCATTGCACCAGCAGGGGTCCCCAATCTGGAGGGCTGTGGTTAAGTGCCGTAGAGTTGGTTCCCATGAGTGGCTGGTGCGTTTGATCTGAGGGCAGAGAGAAAGATATACAGGGAAAAGGTTGAGAATGGACGTGGCAGCGTTTCAACTGTTAAAGGAAGAGCAACAGCAAAGGTCCTTCAGAATGTTGTTCACTCATAGCCACCCTGTATAGGGTTTCCAAGGAGCTGCTATTGGCTTTGAACTGCTGACCTTGTGATTTACTGTGCCACAACAGGTTGTTATCTACCTTTGAGAAGTTCATGAAAATATATTCAAAATTCTAATATGTTCATTAAAAGTCTTAAAAAAGCAAATCCTATCCACACTGTGGTCAAGAAAGGTATGCTCTGCCTGTCCCCTCTAATCCACTTGAGTTAATAGCTACAGTTCACAAAGCAGATCAGACAGAGGGCTCCGGGCAAATGGTATAATGATTCAGGTCTGAGGTTCTGGCCTGGATTAAGGCCTTCTTCCATCTTTTTGTTTTTTACCTCCACACTGACCTAGAACTGCATTGCTATTCAACCACGTAGATTTCTTGAACACTTTTAAAATATACTCCTTTACACATGTCATTTCAGCTTCGTTACCTTTCTGATGATCGATCATGTGATCTTCAGCACCCCACCTTGGCTCCTCTGGAAGACACAGAAAGGTTTGGGATCGCTCAGCACTTGTTCGCCTTGGCTGACATCGGGCTGGAGAGACTGCGGTCATCTGTGAAAGTCGTCATCCTGAAGGACTCGAACATCTTCCCACTGATTCTTTGTATTGCCCTGAATGGACTCTGTGCTTTAGACAAAAGACATGAGTAACGTCCTAAGAAGCTGGTGGTGGCTGTGTACCAACTCATAGTGACCCTGGAGAGGGTTTCCAAAGCTATAAATCTTTATGGGAGCAGAAAGCATCTTTTTCCTTCAGAGCAGCAGGTGGATTAGAATGTGGTTACCAACCCAGTGTGCCACTATTCCACCAGGATGCCTTCATAAGGAGATAACCGTACATATTCATTCTTGACCAAGGAAACGTTGATCAAGGTAACGAATTTACAAAACAGTTTAATAAGTGATGCATGATAAATGACCTCACTTTAACAACCACCTTTAAACAATTCTTATACAGGGAGGCCCTCTGGTGCCTGTGACCTAGTGTCTACGTTAAATTGCAGCACCTGAATATCAAAACTAGTTGCCATTGAGTCAATTCCAATTCATGGCAACCTTGTATGTGTCTGAGTAGAACTGTGCTCCACAGGGTTTGCAGTGGCTGATACTTTGGAAGTACACTGCCAGAACTTTCTCTCCTGAGACACCTCTGGCTAGACTTAAACTCTAACCTGTTGGGTTAACAGCCAAGTATGCACTAATCATTTGTAGCACCAGGACCTCCTAAAGAGCATAAGGTCATACAAGATCAGAAGAGGGTTGAAAATTCTAAGCTAACATTCCCATACACATTCACGCCTTTTCTTCTGAAGATTAGAAAATCATTTTCTTACATTTTCTACTTTGTTATACAAAATAGGATATTGACACTTTGATCCAAAAATTTATTTTAAATTCTGGCAAGAACTATTTTGAATGTACTATTATGTGATATGGTAATTGACAAATGAGTTGGAAATGCCAGAGATAATCACAGAATGGAGTACAGCTATTCCTCCACTGAACGAAATTATATTTGCAAGACACCCCTGACTTGGAATTCTGGGTATATTCATTTTATTTTACCTTGTTACTCTTTGAAGAGGAACCCCAGTAGCACCGTGATTAAACACTTGACTGAAAGGTTGGTGGTTTGGACCCACCAGCTCATCCATGGCTGTCTGTTTCCATAAAGACTCCAGCCTCAGGAACCCCATGGGCAGTTCTACCCTGTCCTATACAGTCACTAGAAGTTTGAATCAGCTCTGTGGCAGTGGGTTTTTGTATTTTTATTCTCAGATAAACATACTGATTCTGTGTTCAGAGCAGTATATTGATTTTCCACGCATTCTGGGAACTTTATATTCAGATTATGAACTGTGGGTGTATACTTGGTTTTTACTCTTGTTTTGATATCCTTCTACTATAAATAGCTTAGATGGTTCCCCTGGTGCCCTAATCCCATTGGCAGGATCTGCTAATAACCTTCAGGGACCCAAAGCTGCTACTCCTTTCCCTCAGCACAAAGACCTGGAGTTGCGCAGGTGCAATTTGCTTCACTTTGAACAAGGAGGCAGAAGGAGCAATTGTTGGATGAAAAGAAGGTTGTCCAGCTCACGTTCTTTTTAACCTCAACACCATCCACTTATCCCTTCCTGCCCTTCCGATTTTAATGCATGTTAAAAAGGAAGAGATGAAGCAGGGTAACCCTTTCCCTCTATTAAGAATGAGACTGTTAGGGATGGTGAAAATTTTTGAAATGATTGTACAACAGGATGAACCTACTTAATGTCACTGAAATGTACATGTAAAAAAATGTTGTGATAGCAAATCTTTTGTTATTGTTGTCAAGTGCCATCGAGTTGGTTCTGACAGTGACGCTGTATAGGGTTTCAGAGGCTGTAAATCTTTATGGGCATAGAAAGTCTCAACCTGAATTGTTGACCTGTGGGTTAGCAGTCCAGTGTTTATCCTATAAAACCACAGTGCTCCCTATCTATATCATTGTTAAGTGTCATCAAATCGGTTTCGACTTACAGTGATCCTTTGTAGGGTTGCCAAGGAGCAGCTGGTTGAGTTTGAACCACCAACTCTGTGGTTCAAACCGACCGTGTGGCCAGCACTTATTCTACACTATACTATAAGTGCAGGACTACGAGAGGCTGGTTTAAACCACAGGGTCAGCAGTTCAAACTCCAAAGCCAGCCCTTGGAAACCCTATACTGAGGTCACTATGAGTTGGAACCGACTCGACAGCACTTAACAATAATACATACAAAATACATGTTTACAAAAAAAAAATTTTTTTTTTTTGCACACTTGTGGGGGAAAAAGCTAACTTAGTGGTAACTATATAAAAATAAGGACCTTAGACACAAAGATGGAAAAGGAATATGTAAATGTGAAAACTGTGGCAGAATGGCAGAACTACAGGTGCCTTACATGTCTGCTTTTCTGAAATAAAGAAGAGACTGCAAACGAAATGTCTGATATGCACCTTCTTGTGTTACAAGCAAGTGGATAAACGTGTTAACATGTATGGACAATATCTCTGAAGAGTTCATAAGAAGCGTTAACAGTAGCTACTTTGGGGAGAGACACGAATTTGGGGTAAAGGTCAAAGTGGGGTGTTTTATTACCCTTTTCTTCCTGTTTGGATTTTGTATGCATTATCCCCTAAATAAAATCAACAACTACAGACTTCAGACAGAAAGGAAATAGCTGCTTCACAACTGCAAAACAACTTCGGGTGCTGGCTGTTTCCACACAGCTACCCTGAGACCAGCCCAGGATGTTGATTTGTGTTTTAAAAAACCTGTTGCTGATTAAGCGTAGCTCTGTACCTCATGTTGGCTGCTGCTGAACCTCCTTGCAGACACCTGGAGAGCTGTGGTATCCAGAAGGCGCTGGGCACACCGGTGAGGTGAAATGAGGACTCCAAAAGGTGTCGTCAAACTAGGTAGGATCCACGGTTCTGCATCTTTAAAAAAGTTAAGTAAAACCAAGTAATGCTCCCCAGAATAGTCCATCACCTAACCTCCTAGTCTGTAATTTGGAGAATATCACAGGCCCCCGTCTCAATGATGTTCATGGCCTAATCTCCAAAACTGTGATTATGTTACCTTACCAAAAACGTGATTATGCCAAAAAGGGGCATTGCAGATTTTAAGGTGGTTAAGTGCCAATGAGTTGGTTCCAACCCATAGCGACCCTGTATAGGGTTTCCAAGGAGCAGCTTACCTCTGACCTTGTGAATCAAACTGACCTTGCAGTCCAGGGCATTAACCCACAGCACCACAATTAAGGTTGTTGTTGTGAAGTGCCGTCGAGTCGATTCTTAACCCATAGCTGACACTGTATAGGGTTTCCAAGGAGCAGCTGGTGAGCTTGAACCACCACCCTTCCAGTTCAAATGGCTTTGCAGTCCAGCGCTTCAACCCACAGCACCACACCAGGACAATTAAGGTTATGGACCTTGAAATCTGGAGATTTTCCCTAAAAGTAAAGTAGGCAGGAGAGATGAGGTGTGGGACAAGGGTTCCATCCATGGGTCTGGCTTTGACCATGAGGAGGTCGCATGCTAAGGAATGTGGCAAGTTCTAAGAGCTGATAGTGTCCCCCAGCCCACAAGGGAGACTTAAGTGATATAATCACAGGTCTGAATTCTGACAAAGCTCGGCAAGAACTAGAACCTCCCCCAGGTGAGACCTGTATCAAAACAAATGGTGTTATAATTTATTATGGGTAAAAAAGAAAAAAATAAGGATAACAATTTTAACTGGGAAGAATGAATAATATGAAACCAAATTTTTTGGAGACACCAGAAACACACTATAATAGCAATTGCTGACCTTTGAAGTATGCAATTCTGGAAATGCGCTTGGTGAAAAAAAAAGTCGGAAGGGCTCTGCACTCACTACTCACCCCAAAGTTGGCATCTCTCTTCTAGCCAGCCAGGTGGTGGTGGTGCTGGTGGTGGGAAGGGGGTCCTACCTTCCTCTCCCACAGCAGCCTCAGTGTGGAGCTGCCTGAGCACCTCCCCCTCCCTCAAGGCTCATTCTCTTTGCTGGACGGCTTTAGTGGCTACAACATCCCATGCCATCTTCTCATTTCTGGATTCGGATCTTCCTCCAGTTGTCAAATTCTTTCCTTGCTGCTTCCTCGAGCTTGTCTTCTGACAGTCCTTTGATAATGGTTAGGGTTGGCCTAGTTGAAGGATAAAGCCAGATGGGAAATGTATCTCGTTATTTTGCTGGGGAAAAAAAGCTATGAGACACTAGAGGCTTTGACACAGACTTCATTTAAATGATGACCAAAGATCATCTGATATCCTGTGTCTGATCAACTGTACACTAGTTCTACTTACAGAAATGAATCACTATTTTCCAGTTATTAAATTTTAATTTCTTCATATATAAAAAATATTTTACTAGGATATATTTAATCTCACAGATTAAACATGTCAAAAAAAATTTTTTTTGACAACATTGAAGGATGTGAAAAGAAAAGGATTTATTGGGAGAGTTTCTTCAAGAGTCAACATTCAGAGGATTTTTATATTTATACAACAGTAATGATTCTTTCACACAGGAACCACTAATGCAATAACTGGGAAAGTAGTAGCGATTCATTTGAAATTTTTTTCATTACAAACTTATTTTAGCAGCTTGTTTTGGTTGATTTTTAAATAGCTAACAAGTACTTTGTCCTACATTAAGAAACAAAACAGATATTCTTCTACAATTACTTCAAAGACTACAAGTTAAAACAGCATGCATTTGGTCAATGCAGCTATACCAAAAAGAAAAAGGAAAAAAAAAAAATCCTAAAGTAAGGGCTTCACATCAAACATCATTGGCTCTCACAGAGCTGGACAGGAACCATGTAGAGAATAACACATTATGAACTCTCATGCTCACGTGCCTAAATGGCGCCACTTCTTAAAAAAAAATGCTCCTAAAAAAAACAAAGAGGAAGACAGCAATTCTTTTCAAAAGGGAACACACAGCCACAAGAATGTATCTTGTATTTTGAGTACAGACATAGAGCAATGATGCCTCAAACTGGTTCTACATGACGAGGCTAAAGCATTCTTGATTTAGAACCATGCTGACCAGAGTTAAGTTTTCTGTCTTAAAGCAATGTTACTTAAACTACTGCCCATCTCTTCT